TCTGCCAGATATTAATTCAACAAAATCTGTATTGATCATGTAAGTGTTTCAGATTCAGGTTGAGAACTTGTATCTCTTATTAAGGAATGTCAAAAAGCTGTATGCAAATCAGGTTGCCAATTTCATATAAGGACTGCTGACTGATCAATCTGACTAACAGCATTGCTACTCTATTTATTCGACACATAAATGAGCTTTGCCAGGACATCGCACAAATGCAATTTGGCTAGGGATATTGCAATGTTGCAGGGGAAATTGATAGAGAAATAGTGGTTTTCATGATCAGTATATTTTGTCACCAGCTGTTATATTCCTGTACAACCAATAATCAATTTATAATATAGCCGAGACACATGTGTGCTAAAACCAGGAAATGTGTGCGTATAACGTTAACTTTTAATAGCCGGTAATGCTTAAAAAAAATGTTATTTTGCTGTAAATTTAATTCTCACCAGTATAACCTTGCTTATATAAATGTACAGTATGTTTATATTGTATTCTGTCTCTTCTTTTCTTCTTTGCCTCTTTGTCTGATAATCTTTGTCTCTCTGACTGATAAACTTTATATAAGACATCTAACAAGTCTAAGTGGGTGCGTGTTGGCAGTCAGTGGCTTCCAAGTTCAGCAGTCAACGAGGGAGTGTTTATGGTATTTCTTGCTCTATAATCCAAATACTTCATTCATCTGTTTATCTATATATGACTTCCATGTTAACTCTATATTTAATATTCAATATTATTCACACACAGTTCACTCCATACATTATGGGCTGCATTGGTATGCATTGGTATGCATTGTATTAGAGCAAAACTAGGAAGGGATTTCCACTCAAACAGCTAATGTTTTCTTTATCTGTTTGGCATAACTGATCTTTTTATATTTTTGCTGTTTATAAGTTAATTAATGAATTATTATCTTACTTAGTTATGAATATAATAAATATAACTTTTTGAACAAATAATTGCTAAGCATATTATATGTTTAAAAAAAATGGAAAATGTATACTTTACAGTACTATGCAGTGTATGTACCATTGCTATACACAATCACAGTTGTTAATTCTTGAACTTGGACAAATTATTTCCATCACTTGGACACAAGTGTCTTTACCATGGCAATGATAATATGTGATAACATTAATATTTATCAAAGAAAATAGTCATTTAATGTAAAATTGTCAGATATAGAGAAATAAATATTACATTCCCTTCTGAGATATGATCAAATATGGTATTCATGGGTATTAGATATGAATTAAAGATAATATTTATGGGTATTC